ATATAAAAATAAATAAATAAATAAATAATAAAAAAAGAACATGGAGAGTAAACCCAACTTTGCTGTTTAGAGATAGGGCCCCTATGAACTGAGTAGGAGTAAGGAAGGTCACCTACATGGTCTAAAATGGATGGGTTTGTAGAAAAGAGACTGGCCAGAGGGAAAACACAGGCATACATTGTCTCTCCCTTTGTGCAGGTTTGAAGCCCTCAGGGCTTCACAACAAGAGCTGCATTATGACAGGATACCCTTTGATCTTGGGCCAGAACCCTGTGCGCAAATATAGCTTCTTCCTTTAAAATGCACACAGCTGTGCTGTTGTGTTAGCAGCAGCTGAAGATGATCTAATCCATATAGCAGTTTTGATATGACCCACATTCCCATGAGGGACATTTGTGACAGATCCAAGCAACTCCAGCAGTGTCAGCAAGGCACACATTCCAACCACAAACATCAGTAACACAGCCAAGCAACTTAGCAACTTGAGAAGATCAGTTTCCCTAGACCTGGGTCTTGATATATAAGGACTTTGATATATATGGGCCAGGTAGGGTTCCTGTTTCCTTAATGCCTAGGTTTCTACATTCTTTCTCCCTTTGTAAACAGAGAAATGGACTGAAATAAGATGTACCCAGTCCTTTGGGTAAGAAGGAATTTAGAACATTTGGTGGATAAAATTTGGACTTTGATCTTCAGTAGAAAGCTTCTAATTTTCAAGTTATTTGGTAAAAACATCCTGCCAATTATTTCCCATCATTGATGATCACAAATGTGGTAGACCAGGTTTCCCAGGAAACAGGCTCTGAAATAGAGTGTTACCTGCAGATGTTTTATTTTCAAGGAATAGTGCCTATGACAGTGAAGATGGCAAGGTTAGGAAGAAGGAAAAATGATGATGAGCCAATTCTTTGGGAATCTCAGGAGCCAGGGTGAACTTTAGAGCTGTGTTAAATTAAGAATGGATGGTCAAGCCATTGAATCCTGAATGCATCAGTAACTCGATACATACTGCTTCCATAGAGGAGAATCTAAGCTTTTAGAGGCCAGAGAAGAAATGTCCTGTGAGAGTTAGAAACACTGCTGACACATGCAGAAACAAGTGTCAGTTCTGAAGGGTGAATGACATGTGTAATCTACTCCAGTGGTCATTCTGGACTCTTCCATTTCCTCAGAAAGGAATTAACCAAGCTAGCTCAGCTATCTAAACCCCTGTTTCCTTTGACTTACTTTCTAAGTAACGTATATGCTCTATGGTTTAATAGAAAGGAGAGCTGTAACTATAAAATGTATTGGTAAATTATCTGTCATTATAAAACAATAACTGGGAAAAACTTAAAAAAAGGAAAGTGTCATTTTGGCTCCAAGTTTCCATCTATGGTAAATAGGTCCTGTTACTGTGAGCCTGGGTCGAGGCAGAACATCAAGGCAGGGTACAGGTGGAAGAGCTAGTCTACCTGTCTCATATTAGCTGGAAATGGAGGGAGAGGGAGAGTGGGAAAGAAAGGGAGGGAAGGAGGGAGAGGGAGCAAACAAAATATACTCCAAGGGCATGAGCTCAGCAACCTGATGCCTATAATTACACAATTCGACCCAATCACCAAAATCTTTCATTGCCTCTTATCAGGCTTTGAATCCACCATAGAGTTTATTGAATGATCCACTCAATACCTATGAAACTCTGTTGAATTGGAGAGCAAGCCTTTAGAACATGAGCCTTAGCTCAGAGTATTTTACCACAGCAGCAGAGAAGGAACCAGTGATGAAGGGAAAAAGAGCCTCTTACACTGGTAGCAGTAAAGTTCTAGAGAAGACTTACTAAGTCATTCCAGCTACAGTAACATTGACAACCAAGAATAATCATCGCCTGGAAGGTCTTAAAACCAAGCCAAACCAAAAATTTTAGGTGCCATATTATCCAACTATTCTATTTCCAAGTGTATATTCAAAAGAACTGAAGTCAACCCACAAAAGAAATGCCTGCACATTTTTCTTTATTGAGAAAGTATTTACAATAGCGAAGATATTGAATCAACTTAGATGCTCATAAATAGATGAATGGATAGAGAAAATATACACAATTAAATATTATTGAACCAAGAAAAAATGAAATCTTGTCATTTACAGTCAAATAAATGCAATTAGGCTATAACGTTAAATGAAATAAGCTAGACACAGAAATCAGAGTACCACATGTTTGTTCTCTCATTTGGAAATCAAAGCAATCAATGTCCAAGTAGAATAATTTTTACTAGGGGTGAGGACTAATATGAAGGCACTGTGAAGGTAAATAGACAGATGGTCATTAAGATTAAGCTTAGTACATAGAAACATAACATTGTCTCACTAACTTATATATATATAATTTGTATGAATTAATAAAAGCTAAAAATATAATAAAAACAAACAATTGAGTTCTTAGAGAATTCCCCTTTGATAACAGTACTTGAAATTGAAGCAAAAGCCAAGATTTTTTAAGATTGAAAGATGCTAAATGGAGATTAGTTTATTTCTGAGATAGCTAATGGTCATTTTCCAGCTTCACAAATATCTAAGTTCTACAGAATCATTTTCAATGGAAAGTCAGATTGCACAAATGTGTCACCTTTCCTTGGGATCTGTAAGGTCTCTGCTACAGATAGGAGGACCTTGGTGAGAGCAATGTAGAACATTTAGGAGGTTGACATTGAATGAGTCATTGAAGCTGCATTCAGCCTCCATACTATATTCTTTATGGGTAGAGACAAGCTTTGTTAAGTGTACACAATGTCTTACAAGTTGTGTTATTCAAATATATTCCTTCTTATCCATACCACATTTCTGCTAGGTAGTTTCTACGGCCATTCTGTAAGTGGGAAAGCTGGAATTCACAGAGAAGTGATCTGTGCTCAGGCCTCACAGCCAGTAAGTGGCTAAGTGGGAGTCAATACCAAAGTCCACTTGATTTGACCCTCAAACCTGCCCTCAAGTACTGAAGCACAACACTTGGATAACCCAAAACAGGGTACCAAACTGAGTAATGCCACTGCAGATTTCCCCCAGCTTAACCTTGACGTGTTAACTGGTGCAGGACTGTATGCTGGTTTAGCAGCACAGATCACTTATGATCCTGCTGTTTATGCTCAGCTGCAGTAAAGCTCAGAAAGCTCTACCTAACAAAGGAGCAGGGGAACTGCTGTCTAAGGTCCTTCAAGGACCTTCAGAATCTTACTCTGATTTGGCTGACCACCAGTTACACCTGGGAAGTAGCATTTTGGGGGTTGTGGACTCGGCATACGGTCATAAAGCAATTAGCCTTGGAAAATACTAACAAATAGTGTCAAGAGGATATATGCCCCCTTAGAAATAGTAATTTAAATGACTTTATTGGTTGTGAGGAGACTTTAGTGGCACTCACATGTGGGTCAGGTAATTGTTTCTGCCCTTAGGGAGAGTCAGGTGGAGCTAGATCAAGGAACTGCAAGAGGTCAGGACTACGGGTAAAAAAGGAATTGCCCTGCGGGTAAAGGGAAGGTTATTCAACCCCAGGAAAAAGCCAGGTTTGGCGGCAAAAGCCTTTAATCCCAGCACTTGGGGAGGCTGAGGTCAGGCAGGTTTCTGTGAGTTCAAGGTCAGCCTGATTGAAGCTGTAAATTCCAAAAGGCTAGAAGCGGGATGCGTAGTGCCACCCATTTCTCCCTGGAATACTCCTATCTTTGTAATTAAGAATGATTTTCGAAAATTGCTTGGAGACCTCAATTGGGTCCAGCCCAGTCTGGGAATTGCTACCGTAGTCTTTTTTTTTTTTTAAATTTTGGAAACCAGAACATTTATTTTATGACAGATTGAAATCCTCAAGATGAACTGGATGCTGCAACAGCTGCCCTCTTGGGTTTAGGGGTTGTCCCTTCACGGAAACCATGCCTGAATCTTCGGTAGACAATTATTAGGTGCCTCATCCGCCCAGTCCCGGTAGTGTTTTGTCTCTTAGCCTTGGCACTCCAGTTATACTTTCTCTTGCGCTTGGCAGGGTAGCCGCATTTGCCACAGGTAGACTTCTGAAGGTGGTAGGCCTTAGAGCCACAACGGCAGCACAATGTGTGCGTCTTGTTGCGACGCTTTCTGAAGGATGACATTCCTTTCATCATCTTGCTTCTGCAGCCAAGGCCAAAGAGACCGGAAGAGAAAGCACTCCCGCTACTTCCTGTGGATAAGCTTCTGCCTGGCCGCTACTGTAGTCTTAAAACCACTTTTTGACATTTTACAGGGGAATCCAGATGCAGCCTCCTTTTGAAAGTTGACACTTCAGACAAGGCAATGTATTACTTTAATTGAGGAAAAGTTTGCCTTTGCTCATATTCATTATAGTCAACCGCTTCTGTTGATAAATTTTTCCAGTAGCATAGTGCTACTGGAGTTTTTTGGCAGTAAGGACCCATCCTATGGGTACATGTACATGTGTCACCTGTAAAAATTGTTATCTCATATCCATCTACTGTGCTACATGTTATTCAGAAAGGGTACAAACTTAGTTAGCAAGCCTTTGGAATGTTACCTGATAAGGTTATTACATCATATACCCAGGCAGAAATAACTTGGCCGCAAAATTTTGCTAAAGATTGGACCTTGTTTTTATGCACTAATCTTGCAGGTTTCCCCCAGCATAACTTTGTTATTATCCTTCTGATAAGTTGATCCCCTTTTTTAAAAAATCATCCGGTATGCTTTTCTGAAGTCATTTTTTTTTTTTTTTTTTTTTTTTTTTTTTTGCACCCTCTGGCAGGGGCACGGAATGTGTTTACTGATGGGTCTTCCACCAGGCGAGCTGTGGTGGCCTCCCCTCCTGATTTTGATATTCAACCTGTTAATGCTAAATCTGCTCAGGTGGCTGAATTGATCGCCTTACAAATGGCCTTAGAGAAATATGCTGATATTCCTTTTAACCTTTTTACTGTCAGTCAATATATAAGCAAAATTCTTGCTCCTTTGGTAACTGCAGCTTATATTCCCTTTGTATCTCGAGTCCAGATTCAGTTATTGGCTATTCATTCTTTGCTTTGGGCCCAATCTGTTCCCATTTACATAGGGTATTTGCAGGCTCATACTGACCTTCCTGGTCCCTTGAGCAAGGGGAATACATTAGCTGATCATCTTACCCACCAAATTTGTACAGTGAGTCAAAAATTTTATAAAGCTACAGAAAAAGCTCATAATCATTTTCATCTCAATGCTGGGTCTTTAAGATTTCATTTAAAGATTTCTCAAGAACAAGCCACTGATATTGTTTTAAAAAATGCTCTCTGTGTACAGAACTTTTAACTGTTCCCCGTTTAGGAGTTAATCCTTGTGGGCTTGCTCCTAATCATTTATGGCAAATGAATGTTACCCATGTTCCTTCTTTTGAGCGCATGCAATATGTTCATGTAACTGTGGATACATATTCTCATCTTATTTTTGCCCCAGCCCATACAGGAGAAAAATTATGGGATGTTAGAAGTCACTGTCTCCAGGCTTTTGCCTGGAACATAGGAGTTCCAAAAAACTGTAAAAACTGACAATGGGCCAGCCTACACCAGCACTGGCTTTGCTAATTTTTGCTGAGTTCTCCATTTCTCATAAAACAGGAATACCCTGTTCCTCAAGAACAAGCTTTAGGGGAGCGAGCACATTGTAAGCTCAAAGCCTATTTGCATAAAACAAAAAAGGGGGAATATGGTTGCACCCCCAGAGACCATTTGTCTTTTATTTTATACATTTTAAATTTTTTGACTGTTGATGCTCAATCTCGTACTGCTTCGACTGGCATTGGCGGCCAGATTCTTCCAGGATGCCTCATGTCAAATGGAAGAATCTAGCAGATGACACCTGGTATGATCCAGATCCTGTACTGGTGTGGGGAAGAGGGGCTGTTTGTGTTTTCCTGCAGGATACTGACAGTCCAATATGGGTACCTGAGCATCTGGTGCATGCTGTGGATTTTTCTGTCCAGAAGCCTAAAGACAGTACAGAGCCAAGAGATCAAATAGACACTGGCTTGTCAACTGAAGAGTTGCTGGGATCCTGAGGAGCTGTCTGTGGTGGTCCAAGTGCTAAGGATTATTCCTCTATAAACCCATCCCATGATTATGGCGGTGATTGCTGTGGCTGCCAGAGTGGCTATGGCTGCTAGATTTTTCATTAGTCAGTTGCTTCTGATAGCACAATAGATACCTTCTCAGGGCAGGTTGCAAATGCCTTGGCCATCCAAATTGAGCTAAATTTACAAATGAATATTGCAGTTAATTATGTATTGGTTGTGGTTGAAGAACGCTGCTAGGTTATACAGTAAAAGGCTTATTGCTGTTATTCACGGACCCTGGAGTGCACTATTTACAAGTTGGCTCTTGAGATTATTCTACTTAACTATACTAGGGTTCCTCCCATCAGTGCTGAGACCTTACTTAAAGGGCTCCAATTTGTGGGCAGACTTATTAAGGACTGAGCAGGCACAGCCTCCTTAAGGAGTGCTTATAGGTGCTGGAGCATCATCTTCATGGTTTCACAGTGCCAGAGCCAAAAGGCAAGCTCAGGTAAATCTCTTATGTGTTCTTTCAATCTCCAGGCCCTTGCCTGACTCATGTACTATACAGTGGCACACCAACTGTACTGAAAGGGTAACAGAATCAGGTGTTATACCAGTATTGGGGTCTCAGAGATCAAACTAATGTCATCAGACTTAGCAACAGGAGCCTTTGCCCACTGGGCCATTTTGCTAGCACTTGGCCAAAACTTCCTGCACAGTATTTATTTAACTAGTTTTTCCTCCTAATAAACACATTGCTCAATTGTACATGCTTCTGCCTCTTCATCTGTATAATGCCTGTAAGAATGTTTTATTGTTGTGTTTTTATAATTTATAATTTCATCTTTAGTCAGATATCATGGGTATTGGCAGTATATATTTGGCAGGAAATTGGGTCCCCCCACCCCACACACAATCCTCTTTCTTCCATCTGTAAATTCAGGCAAGTGGTTGGTAATCTCAGGCTTTAGACAGAAGAGCACAGGAGTAACAAAAGAGATGTCTTGATGCGGGGGCATTTTGGGGTTAGGGAGAAACATGGTGCCAGGGAAATTCTCAGAAACCCACAAAAATGATCCCATCTAAGACTCCTAGCAATGGTGGAGATGGTGCCTGAACTGGCTATCTACTGTAAGCAGATTGGTGACTTCCTAATTGGCTTCAGAGATACACTATCCAGTAACTGATTGAAGCAGAGGCAGAGATCCACAGAAAAGTGCTTTGCTGAGAGTCTTGACGAAGAAAGGGAGGAGAGATTGTACTAACCAGGGGGGTCTTGATGGGGGATCCCACAGAGACAGCTCATGGATTCTGAACCAACAGTCAGAGAGCCTGAATAGAACTGACCTAGGCCCTCTGCATCTGTGTGACCATTCTGTATCTTGGTGTCTTAGTAAGGCTTCTAAGCAGGACTCCCCCTGGTAAGTTGATGGATTCCCTGGCCCTGGCAGGGGAGGAGCTCAGACCTGTCTCAACTTGATGGCCATGCTTTGTGCAAGCCCATAGGAGCCCTGTCCCTTTCTGAATGGAGATGGAGGAGGAGTGGATGGGGAGGGAGGTAGATGAAAAAGGAAGGGGACAGGAGGAGAGGAGGGAGGGAAATTTCTTGGTATGTAAAATAAATTTTAAAATGTTATTTAAATAAAAGAAAAAGAGAAGAGCACAGGCTTCTTATGATGGAATAAGGGTGAGAAAATCTACGAATAAAAGATAAATTAGGAACCACTGATGGATTTTAAAATCCGAGAGCACATACACATTGTTAGGTGAAAAGAAAAAATGAAAGAGAAGCAGTGAGGAAAAACTTGTATTAATCTGTTTCAGTCATTTTTGGAAAATAATCTTGGATAGAACACAAATGTGGGAGAAGTTGTACAAATGGAAGCAGCAGGAAGGGTCAACTGCTGCTCAGGAGGAACAGAGATACAGAAAGCAGGTACATTGTAGATTCTGAATGTTGAATTTGCAGAAGAAAGGTTGCTCCTAAAGGGAAGCTGGCATCAGAGGGGACTGCTTCTGATGGGGACACAAAGCAGACTTATGCAAAACAGTGTCACCTTACACAGAACAGAGAGGAGCCAGCTAAACAGGTCATCATAGAAAGCAGGAGACATTGACAGAGTAGGAGGCAGGGAGGCAAAAACAACTGATGCAGTCTTTCTTTCCAAGTAAAGTCAAGGACAAAACAAGGCACAATGAGTGCACAAAGTGACCCGGTAAGGAGGGTACATAAGGCAAAGTCACAGGATAAAATGGCTGAAGACTCAAAGAGACAGAGAGACCAGAAAGGACCAGATGGGAAAGCTGAAATCCTTATTGAGCAACATGAGTCTGACTTTTAAGTGACCTAGGCTGACTTGGATCAAAAACATTATCAAGAATAGAAAACTTTGGGGGCTGGAGAGATGGCTCAGAGGTTAAGAGCACTGCCTGCTCTTCCAGAGGTCCTGAGTTCAATTCCCAGCAACCACATGGTGGCTCACAACCATCTATAATGAGATCTGGTGCCCTCTTCTGGTCTGGTGGCATCTATGCAGATAGAACACTGTATCCATAACAAATAAATAAAAATCTTTTTTTTTTTTTTTTTTTTTTTTTTTTTTTTTTTTT